TAAGTGCTATGGAGAAAAGAAAGGCACAGTGGGGGTGAGAGGATAGGAAACTGCAGAAGTTGGGGATGGTTTGCAGGTTTAGACAAGGCTGTCAGAGAGAGCCTGAGATGGTGACATTTGTGCAGACTCCTAAAGGAGATTAGGGGCAAGTCATGCGAGATGTCTGGAGAAGAAGGTTTCAGGGACAGGAAGAGCAGGCGTTTCTGGGCGGTCCTGAGCCAGGATAAGTGAGGGAGAGAATGGTGGGTGAGGCTGGGAAAGGAGCAGGGTCAAGGTCATATAAAGCTCATCTATTCACCTCCCAATTCATTCATTCACTCAAAAAAACATTTTTGAAGCCCTGCCATGTTCTAGAGCTTGGGAATCTGGCAGTAGGTATGACAAGCAAGTTCCCTGCTCTCATGGAACTCACATCCTGGGGGAAATAGGAGAATAAGGAAGGAAATGTATAAATAAGGTAACTTCAGAGGAGACATAACAGGGTGACAAAGCAGAGAAGGTGGGCAGGGAAATCCAATCACCATCGGCTTCCAGGCCCACAATCTTGGCAGAGTCTCTCAAGTGACTCTTCTCTTCTCCCAGAAGCCCATTCAGAAGATGAGAAAACTGAGGCCGGGAATCCTGGCTTTTTATTTTTTGTTTTTGCCCAGAGAGTCTGGGATCTGGGAGTGGAATGAATACCCTGCCCCTCACTGAGCCAGCATGATGCTGTGGGGAGGTTCTCAACAAGTGTCTCCTCCTAGGGGGCTGTGACCGAGCCCTGGCCCTGTGCTGGCTGCACTCAAGGCGCATATGGATGTGGGAGTGGAGGACTCACAATCAGGCAGAGACCCATGCTCACGCTGCAGACACGGGCAGTGAGTGACCTGAGGGCTGCCTGGGAACAGGAGGCCAGGCCTCATCTCCTGGCTCCCATTGGCTAGTGGAGGTGCTGTTAGCAGGTTCAGGGCAGTGCACAGGGGCCTGGCTGTGGAGTGGAGGGTAGAGCAGACAGTCTGGCTCTGTTACCCCAACTTTGACTCAGGACGACAGGAGACTCTCTGGGCAGCTGCTCTCCCATCTATGGGAGCCTCCTGGGCTCCTGTTTCCGCCTCACTGCCCGCACTTCACTGTCTACGCAGCCGGAGGGATCCCTTTGGAACCCAAATCTGCTCCTGTTCCCCCTGCTCAGAACCTTCCACAGCTCCCATGGCAGCCAGGGAGAGCCCAGGCCAGAGAGGACACACTAGTGACCATGTCCTCTGAGCCAGGTCATGCCATGTGCCCCCAGCACTGTCTCATTAACCCTCCAACTACCTGAGTGGACTATTGTTAACCTCACTTCTGATGGGGAGACCCCATGGTGTTTGGTGGATGAAGGATAAAGGAATGAACAGTGGGGCTGACCGCCCTTCTCCATTGCCCCAGGGTCTCAGAGGACGCAGAGGAGGAGACCTGGTGCCAGGCTCAGGCGGCAGATGCTCTTGGTCAGCAGCAATGCCCTGCTTTGCCCTTCACAATGGGGGTGTGACTATCACTTTAAAATGGGAGACTCTGCTCTCACTCACCAGGGTGCTGGACAGTCCAGGCCGCTGAGTGTTCCCATCCCTGTGGCCACAGATGACAGGGGCGGGGAAGACAGATGTGACTTTCATGGACAGGCTCACAGGGACCAAGGCCACAGGAGGCAGAGGTGCTGGCCAGAGGCGGTTTGCCCAGGGCTGCTCCAGGCCCCTGGTGTGGGCGTGGCCTCGAGCCCACACTGCCCAGCCAGGCAGCGTGGGGACATCTGTGTGGCCACCTCCCCATTTTCATGTGAAAGGCAGGTGGGGCATGACATGGGGACCGGGGACTGCCATCTGCTCCGGGAGGGCATTGTGCTGAGAGCCACGTGTCCCATGACAAGGGCAGGGGTGGGGCAGCTGGATAGAGGGTAAAGGAGACGGGAACCAACAGAAGGCGCTTTCAGGAGGGTGGGCTCTGAGGGCAGGGCTGTCGGGGCTGCTGTCACCATCTGTGCCCATCCCCTCCGAGGTGGCTCTGGGCTCAGCTCAGCTCCATGGGCCCCCTCCCCGCCCAGGGCCAGGCTGCTCCTGTGCAGCGGGCGCTCAGCCCTGGTCAGCCACGGAGCCAGCATGTGAACCAGCCCTCTCTGGCTCCACAGTCTGCCCACCAGGCCGTTCTGCTCAATCACTCGGAGACCAGAGTGTTGGGAATGGTCCCCAGGCTGCACCGTGGCCAGGAGATTGCCCCCGAGGGAGTTGGGTCCCTTTTGCGCTGACCCTTCTGGTCCTGGATGCTTGGACACTCCAGCCAGAGGTGGCCCAGGGTGAGGTGCAGGGAGGGGAGCCACCAGGAGGGGACAGGTCCCCAGTCCTCAGACAGGCAGGTCTCCAGGCCACAGCTCAGGTTTCCAGGAAGAAAGAGTCTGCAGCCATCTCTTCCAGCTGGGACTGTGCAGGGGCAGGCTCCCCGAAGGTGCGGGAGCCCCCGTCAGGACGCCTGGCTGCCTCGCCAAGCAAGCCTCTCTGCAGCCTGAACCTCAAAGTGATTTATTTTTCTTGTTTTGATGGGAACTCGGCATGCCCCCTTTTGAGCAGTTTTAGGGGAGGAGGCGGACTGTCGGGAACAAATGTGTCTGAACAGCTGCCTGCATCGTGCAGATCCCACAGGAGCACCTGCAGGGTTTGTCTGGTCCCTGGGCAGGAGGGTCACAGGGACACGCGCTCACGACCTTCAGAGCTGACAGAGGAGGGGACCCTTGGCGCTGGGCCCCAGCGGGGTGGCTGTATTGATTCGGACTGCTGGGCACTGAGCTGGAGGGAAAGGCCAGGCAGGGCTGGTCCTGCAGAGCCGTCTTCATTGTTCTCCCCTCCACGCCTGCCCGAGCTCACTCACAGGCGATGCACAGATATTCTGTTTGTAATTAAAAAGTGATTTAATTATCCGCTGAAAATGAGGTTCCAGAATTAATATTGAGATGAATTATGGCTGTGCCACAACCGCTCTTCTCCCTGGTCGTTAGGAAATTGGGAGGAGAGAGGCCCCACGAGGGCCCTTGATTTTCCTTCCTTGACAGCTGCCACAGAAGCCCCAGAGCGGGCAGCCGGGATGTCCCAGCGCAGGAGGGACCTGCGAGGGCTTTTAAATCTCCCTGTACCAGGCGTGGAGAAGTGGAGACGGACTGCGGGGTGTGGGGGTGGCGGGGAGCTCAGGAGGCTCTGCCCAGGTTATCCCCTGGAGCTGGGCACGTGGCTCCAAACAGAAGTGGGGTGTCAGCTGGGCAGCAGGAGGGACGGTGAGGCAGAGGGAGGTGACGCTGGTGTGGGCCACAGCCTCAGCGGCAGGAGACGGAGACCCAGGACATGTGAGATACTGTGCATTTGTAAAGCACCGAGTGACCTGCCACTATTAATTACTTACCACAGAGATTGAAAAGTAAGAATGCTGACTTTGGGGCCAAGATTTTGGCAAAGCAGAACCCCGGGTCTTGACTCTTCTGGGGTTTCTTTATGTGCCCCACTGCCGGCCCGCGCCTGCCTCCTGAAGAGCCTCCCGAATGCTCTGATTGGCCCTTGGGAGCACAGGTTCCTGGAGCCAGGATCGCAGAGGTACTGCAGGAGCCTGGGCCGTTCAAGGCTCCCTCCCATCAACCAATACTGTGATCGATACCCTGTGAGCTGAAGCTTCCCGGCAGGGGACTGGTTCCCAGAACTGATAGGCAGGGGCACCAGGGACCTGGCTTCCTGGCTGCCCTGGCTGCTGGGTGGATGGAGGTCTCCAAAAGCTCTCGGACAAGGGCTTCATCAATCACAGCCAGAGTCCCAGCCTCTGCAGGCAAATGAGGGCAGGACCACAGGGCATGCGCCAGAGCAGGAACTTACATGGTGGGCACCTGCTGGGCAGTGCCGTGTATTTACTGCTGCTGCCCATCCTGATTCACCCCTTGTTGCAAGTGTTGGACCCCCTCCACCCCTCCCGCACACCCGTGGGCTGGGTTTGATTCTGGCGCTCCCGGCTATGACCCCGGCCGTGGGTCACTAGCTGTTGATGAGGTGCCTTTTCCAGGGCCCCTGAGTTTTTTCTGTTTGCTTGTCTCCTCTTTCTCACTCTGCCCCTCCCCCTTCCTTTGAGATCAGGCACAATTGACACTTGAGCCCCTAAGGTCAGGGATTATGGAATCCGGGCAGACACATGCCTGCGGCTGAAGAATTACCCAGCAGCTGCTGGGCCCCAGGATGCTGGGGGGTCGCTCCAGCTCCCAGCCTTGGGGGGAGGATGTGGCCTGCACAGAAGTAGTGTGTTTCACCCCTGGACCAGGGCTGGGATGGGTGCTGGGGTTGCAGGGAGGAAACAGATCCTGTCCCCATCCTCAGCGAGGTCCCAGTCCCACAAGTATGAGCATAAGTCAGATTTTGGGCCAAACGCAGGTCCATACATTTGGGTGAACAGGAAATCCATGCTGTTTCCCCCCTCCCTCAGTTTCTTATTCCAGACCATCATTCCACTGGAGGGAAGGGAGTTTTATAGTTTTCTGTTTTGCATATAGAACTATGACCCATTTTGAGTTAGTTTTCATACAGGTATGAGGTTTAGGTGCTACATCTGTAAATAAATTTGGTGGCGCGGGGGTGGGGTCGGGGGTGGGGGGCTGACGTTGTTACTATGTTGAGTTTTTCAATGCCTGAACATGGTATGTCTTTCCATTTAGTTAGGTCTTCTTTGATTTTCATTGTTTTATAGTTTAAAGCATAAAATCCTGTACATGCTTATTAGATTTATATTTAAGTATTTCATTTTTGGAGAGACTTTATAAATGGCACTTAAAATTGTTTTTCTTATTATACATTGTTGTTGTAGAGAAATATACATTTTTGTGTGTTGACATCGCTAATCTCACTTTTAACTTCTAGGACTATTTGTGTGTGTGTGTGTGCATTCCTTGGAATTTTCTATATAACAATCATATAAAGGAAAATAACAGTTTTGTTTCTTCTTTTCCAATTTATATGCCTTTTATTTTTGCCTTTACATGCTGCTTTTTAAAATTGTGTTTTTTTGCCAATATTAAAAACATACACCCACAAACTATTTTACATAAAAAACCTTGGCCTCATTCAAAACCAGAAAAGTAGGCCCCACAGCCCCTGGCTTCCCTCACACTACAAGATGACAGAGCTGAGGAGCAGCCACTCCTAAGCACAGGGCACACGCCCCTTGCAGCCCCGCACCAGCCCACGCACCCAGCCAGGCTACTAGCCCACCCCTTCAGGCACCTGCCTGTGCAACCTTTGCCCTTAGCCATCAGGTCTTGGGGGATGGCAGAGAGCAATAGTTCCCCCCAGCGCCAGAACTGTGGGGTCACTTCCAAGTGTCCCAGGTGTTATGGAGAGAGCAGGGTGAACAGTCAGGCTAGGAGGGACAGGCACCAGTCCATGGCAACTGCTTGAGCCAACTCAGGCCCCAGGCTGAAGTGTGGCTGTGTCTCAGCCAGTGCCGGCTCAGAGAGATGGTGCCTAAGAACCACATTGGTCCCAGCTGACACCTGGTATCACATAAATCCTCAGAAAAGGGGACTGGTCAGCCCCAAATGGTCTGAGGTCAAGTTTCCACCATCTATGAACAACAGGGACTCAAATGGAAATACTAGCTCACACGCAGGCACTGTTCTAAGTGCTCTTAGGGGAACATGTTTCTAATCCTCTGAGAAACCCACAGAAACCTATCATTGCCCCATTTCATAGACGAGGACACTGAGACCCAGAACGCTCACGGGAAGGTGCCCAAGGTCACACTGCTGGCAGGAAGCGAATGCAAACCAGCTCTGGATCCGGACTCTGTGCGTTAGCCGTCACGCTCTAATGCAGCCACGAGTAGGTTCAGTCTCGGAAAATAGCAAAGCTGCGTTTCCTTTTCAGGGGGTCTCCTTCCCGCAGGGACTCAGCAAGGCTGCCTGGGCCCTGGGGCTGAGCTGGGGCCCTGGAGTGCGGCCCCTGCAGAAAGGACCTGGGCCCCGCCTGCCGTCCCCCTGTAGGTTGAGTCTTGCTCTGTCCCAGTCAATTTTAATGGACTCTCAGGGCAGGGGTGGGTGCACAGGTGACCTCTAATGAGCCATTGATTTTACAGCGGACGCCTGCTCCGGCCCCAGCACATCTCCTCCTAATGGAAGGAAAATAAACGTGAGAACCCGCTGCCCTGGCCCAGGGCCATCCTGGGGCGTCTCACTCTCTCACTCCTGCTATTTCTCCTTCTGAGGCCAGAGATGGCCTTTTCAGGGGACAGCACAGGGCGAGAGCGGCTCTTGGTCCGTTCCCAGCTCTAACTCGCCCGGTCTCCCAAGCCCCCATTTGCTCAGGGGTCTGGGCCATTTCCATACACGACGGAGCCGTCACTTGGTTGTTTAAGCCCGAGAGCCCTCCTTATAGCCCCTGGAGTCCCCTAGTGTGGCTTTTCTGCTTTGACCCCAAGACAGGCCCACCTCCACCCACCTTCCCTGCCCCCACTTCTCCAGAGGCACTGTCACCTCTCCCTGCATCACTGCAGACACCTCCCCTCTGGCCTCCAGCCTCCACCACGGGGCCTTTAGAATCCACTGTTCCCATAGCAGTGAGATGACACGTTCAACATGTAAATCAGATCTTGTCACCTCTGCTCACAGCCCCCATGTGTCCCCACCTAACACAGAATAAAATGCCAAGAGCCTGGCCTGGGCCTCCCTCCTTGCCTTTGCCCTCCATGTCCCTTTCCCTGCCTCCTCCTGCTCTGAGACCCACAAGGCTGTTGAGGTGGTTAGCACTACAGAGCTCTCTTGCCTGTGGCTTTGAGTCGGGTCCAGCCTGCAGGGAGCCCCAGCAGGATCAGCAGAGGGGGAGAGCGGTGTTGGGCTGGTGGTTCACTGGACTTCCTCCTCCAAGGCTGACTGTGCCCTGGCCTCCTTTCTGTTCCTTACCATAGGAAGATCTTTCTGCCCCAGGACCTTTGCACTTCTGCTCCCTCTGTGTGGAATGCTCCTTCCCTGGCTCTTCCCACACTGGCTTCTTCCATCTTCCAGTAAGTAGTGCAGCCAGGGACAGAGAGAAAGCCTGGGGGAGAGAAGGGCAGGTTTGGGCAAGAGCTTCCCTTCAGTCCTGTGGTCCTGGGGGAAGAATGGACCTCATGGCAGATTCGAGTTGTTGTCTGGAGCCCAGTGCTTGGAGCCATGACAAGGGTCTGAACTGGAGACAGACGTTTGGACAAATTTGCATCCTTCAATGTCACCATCTCAGGGATACCCTCCACCACCCTCCTGTCTATGGGTGTGCCCCTGCTCCCCCACTAATCTTTCAAACATTGCCCAGTTAGTTTCTCTCATTACCCTTATGCCATCATAAAATTAACCTTATTGGTTGCTAGTTTTTCTCTGTCTCATCTGCCATTTAACCACTGACTCTTAGAGTCTAACACAATCCCAGGCCATGGTAGATGTTTGATAAATATTGCCTGAACAAAAAAATAATTGATGAATAATATAGTGTGCACAGACACCTGCATTCATGCTCACACCCACGTCCATGTTCACACACACACATTCATGCCCACATCCATGTGCACACATGCACACACACACATGCACATACACATTTCCTGACCGCGGGAATCTTTTGTTAAATCACAGCACTCAGGTCCCTGGGTGGAGCTTTCGATGGAGCCCACCACGGAGCCAGTGCCCACCCTGCCCCCGCTGACACCTACTGAGTTAGAACAAGACGGTTAGGGAGGCACTCCCTCCTCTGCACAGAGACTGTCCGCTCTCTGTGGGTTTATGCTTTGTCCTTCTCATTCCTCTTCTCCAACAGTGTCTGGGAGGATTTATGGAGAAATAACAGAACGACACCTGAGCTTGGGGACATCAACCACGGCATCTTCAGAGGATGGTAATGGTCACGTGGATGATGTCACATGGTTCTCTCGCCCTCTCCGCCCCCAGCTCCTGTCTCCTGAGGCCGCATCTGCCCTTCAAGGCCCAGCCCAGTCCTGCTTCTTTCCCCGAAGTCTCTGTGCTTCATGGTTCCCAGGTCTCCTGTTCCTGAGGCAGCCCTGCCTGCCACTCACTGGGGGTCATTTCACAGAATTGTCCTCCCTCCTCCCCAGGCCCTGCCCTTGGATGCCCCTCCCCCCATCCTCCCACCCCCGCCCCTGCCCCCTCTACGGTGGTCAGAACACTGCTCACATCCCTAAGGACCCAAGTTGGGGTTGTTTCCTAACCAAGGGCTCAGCATCAAACACGGCACAGATAGGACCAGGTTATGTCACAATTCACCGTAAAGCAAAGCTATAGCGTTGAAGCTCTGTAAATATTTAAAAGTAATGAAATTGCACTCCAAGTCTTATAGAGATGGCTATAAATCGACAGTCCATGTTAATTATATGTGAGTCCTCCAATGTAATAAAACGTACACATCATACATTATAAATGTACCTCTCCAGGCCCATAAATTTGATGTAAAACTAACATATGAGCTATAACAGGCACTAAACATTTCATTAACACTAGCTTTGCTTGTCTTCTTAGAATTTAGGATGTCTATTTTGGAATAATTTGGGTGGCCCAAGACTGTGATAAAAAGCTGATGTGGGAAGGTATGTGAGTTTAGCAAGCAGGGGGATATAACACTCTGCTGTTGACCTTGGGATGTGGATTTAAAAAAATCGCCTGCAGCTCCTCTCCTTGTCTTCCTGTGGACTCCGCCTGGGAGATGGAGGTGCGTAACGAATACGGACTCAGTGCCGTGTTCTCGCATTTACTTGTAACATCTGTCTATGAAGCCACTTGTTCATGGAGAAACATGGAGATTGTCACTCACTGTAGAGCGTTGTAGTTTTGTATCAAACAAGTCTTTTTGATTGTAAAAGCCCAATTCAAACTGACATAAGCCAAAAGGAGAAGTTATTTGCCCAGCAAAGGGCAACTCAAATGTTACTATAAAGGATTTGCCTCCATTTCTCATCCCTGATTTCTCAATGTTCTCCCATCACATCAGCAACCCCAGTGGAAAGATACTGTCTGTTTTGTGAGAGTCTCAGAAACATCGCAGACTGACTCTCACTGGATGAAAGTGAGGACCACTCATTCTGGCGGAGGATTGGCTGCTTAGATTGGCCTGTTAGGTCGAATGCTCACCCTCGAGAAGGGTGTGGGAGTCATTCTCTACTGGAAACACATGGACCAAGTGTGCGAGCCATCCATTCGGTTCCAGCAACAGAAACGGCATCTGGCTAACAGGCAAAATGGGAATTTCCTGGAAGCAGCTGATCAGAGAAGGCTGAGAAATAGACTTAGGAGCGTTCCAGAACAACCCTGCAGCAGAAATTGCTTACGTGGGTGACCTTGAGACTAACACACAATGGAATGAGCCAGTAAATGTTGGTTGAATGAATGAATAATTAATGCAAAGGAGGGGGCCTAGAAACTGCTCAAGACCACAGATATCCATTATATGTTTTCTTCCCAAGTACTTTCCCCACCACTTATTCTGGACTCTTGCAGGTTCCAACTCTGGTAATGATCTCGAACTTCCTGATGCCTGTGACTTGATTGGCTTCCAAGATCCCAATGTCAGGATTTTCCCCCTTCTCTCACCATCTTTTCACATGTCCCCGGATCCTGCCTCCCACCCTTCTCTCCCCACCTGCTCTCTTGGGCAGCTCCTCTTTGCTCACAGCTTCAATGTCATCTTATCTCTGGTCCCACCATCTCTCTCAAATTCTACTCTTAGGTTTCCCAGATCTGAGACTCAGCTTCTATTTATTAGGCACCTACTATATGCTGAACCCTTGGCTAAGCACATACAATGTCTCATTTAATCCCCATGACGACTCAGAGAAGATGTCAATTTTTATGCCCATTTTTTAACAGATGGAGGACATGAGGCTCAGAGAGGTCAAGAACCTGGCCCAAAGTTGCTCTGCCAAGTGGTCCCAGATCCAGGATTCAACCTCAAAGCCTGCAATCATAGGCCTGCATTAGTACTTCTAACAAAGTCAGCCAAGACTTACGTCTTCACCCATCTTCTCTAACATGACCAACCCATTCTTTGAGATGCCAGGATCAAAATTTGGGAGCCTTTCTAAATGCCTCCTTCTGTCCACTGTGTCCAAGCAAACACGTAGTCTTATTGCCAATTTCTGTGGGTTTGTTCTTTCTAAAAAAATTAAGAGTTATTTAATAACTGTGTTCATCTAAAGATGAATATATTACACCATGGCTTATATTTAGTTGTTTTCTTCATGATTTTCAAAGAAAATAAAATATTTCTGTCCCTCACCGTAGGAAGATCTTTCTGCCCCAGGGCCTTTGCACTTCCGCTCCCTCTGTATGGAATGTTCCTTCCCTGATTCTTCCCACACTGGCTTCTTCCATCTTCCAGTAAGTAGTGCAGCCAGGGACTGAGAGAAAGCCTGAGGGAGAGAAGGGCAGGTTTGGACAAGAGCTTCCCTTCAGTCACGTAATCCTAAAAGTATAGTGAGCCCTGGGCACTATGTCGAATTGAAAAGTCACACTGTCTCATTGATCTCTGCACTGGCCTCTGACAGTAGCTGACCTCTCACCTGCAGCCCCCTTGCTGTTCTTCAAAGACACCAGGCACATTCCAGCCCCGGGGCCATTGCACTTGTTAATCCCTTTGCACACTTCTCCCAGATCCTCACATGTCTCCCTCCCTCCCCTCTCTCAGGTCTTTGTTCAAGTACCTCTTTCTCTGTGAAGCCCACCCTGACCACCTGGCTTCTAATGATAGCCTCTACCCGTCCTTCTTTATTTATCTCACACCAAATGTCACCATTTGACAATTTTGGGGTCTTTCCTTAAAATCCCGTTTGCTATTTTGTACCCGCCTCCCATTAGAATGTAGCTCCATGAGACAGGGTTTGTGTCTGTCTTGTTTATTGTTGTAACCCCAGGGCCTAGAATTGGCTGGTGCACAAGAGATGTTGAACAGATGTTTTATGGATTGAATTTACGCAAGGGGATAAATAGCATTAGCTTGGGTGGGGTGAGGGGAGTCATGTTCGAGCTGAGACATGAGAGATAAGAAAGAACCAACAGGAGAAGATGTGAAAAACAGTAAGGGCCAGGGACCTGGAGCAGGAATGAGCTCAGCAAGTTGGAGGAGCAGCAAGGAGGTCAGTGAGGCTGCAGCAGAGTGAGCCAGAGGGAGATGAGTCTGAGAGGAGGCCAGACCATGCAGGGCCTTGGAGGCTGTGATGAGCAATGGGGAACCATTGAAGGTTTCAGAGCAGAATGTGACATGATTTGATTTACATTTTCAAATCCACTTTGACTGCAGTATGTGTTGAATGAACGGGGTGGGGGTAGATGCCAAGAGACCAGGGGGAGGCAGTTGTAATTACCTAGGAAGGCCATGATGGATGATGGGGCTTAGCCCATGGAGGCAGTGGCATGGAAAACACATGGGTGGACTGAAGACAAGGCAGGCTCAGCATTCCAGCTTGGCTGAGCTGAAATTTGGGGAGACTGAGGTATGGCTTTGCCTGGACATTCTCTTGCTTCCTGGACATGTTTCCCTTAGAGACCTCTGGGAAGGAGAGGGTATGACATGCGATTCTAGTAGTACCCACCCAAATCCCCACTTCCTCCTAGAGCAGTGGTTCTCAACCTTGGCTGCACATTAGAATCACCTGGGAATCTTTTTAAAATCCTGATTTCTGGGCCTCATCCTCTGGAAATTCTGTTTCTTTGATATGGGGTGGGGCCACAATATTAGTAACAGAGAAACAGAATTTCCAGAGGATGAGGCCCAGAAATCAGGATTTTAAAAAGATTCCCAGGTGATTCTAGTGTGCAGCCAAGGTTGAGAACTACTGTCCTAGAGGCTCCAGGGGGTCTTAGTCCTGGGATTGTCTGCTGGGCTCCATGGATCCAAGGTCAGTCTTCAATGTGAGTTTGCACAAAGCACATGCTTGTTTCTGTTAATTGATATAAATGACTCATCTTTTGCTGCCACTCATCATCGCTGTGCACTTTCATATTAATTGGGTTGGAGGAGGAAAGCTAAGTACTTCAATGTGCTATCTCTCCAGATGACAAGATGGGAAAGGAGAAAATCACTAGGTTCAAGGACGGGAGCTTGAGAGCCGAAATCCCTGTGGGGACAGTGATGGACACACAGAGACAGATATCATGGATGTCCACGTGGTTCCTTGTCCCAGAGCAGGAGAGCGAGTCTGAGAGGTGGGAGGTCACGGAGCTCAACCAGCCAGAGAAGGGTTTTCAGCCCAGGGCTTCACATGCAGATCCCGAGGGCGTGACATCGCCAGTCCTTTCCATCCATAACACCGTGAAGTTCCCAGGAGGCACTGGGTCATGGGTGGACCCCTCTCTGGAATTGAACCCCTTGTCTCAAGAGGGCAGCCTCATAGGTGCACCCTGAAAAGCAACCTGTGAAATGTGGGCACTCCAGGAAGCCTTCTCTCTACCCCTGCATTTCCCAGGGGCTGCTGACCTCCCCCGCCCCCCCCCCCCCCCCCGCATTTCCCAGTGCTCCATCCCCCAGCTTGGAAAACACAAATGAGCAGCATCTCATGCAGACCCATCCATCAGGCTGCTTTCTTCCTCCCCACTGAGAGGACCTGCTGTGACACAGTGGGATGAGGAGGAGAGCTGCAGGGCCTGAGGAGTATGCGGAGGAGGGAGGGGGGAGAGAGGATAGGAAGGAGGCTGCCAGGAGGACATTGGCTTCCCTCAGAGCTCTGTGAGGGCCCTGAGATCCACCTCATCACACCCGAGTGCAAATCACACCTCCTCCCCAAATGTGGGTGCTCGTGCACACACATCCCCTCCCTCTTGGACTTAACAGGGTGCCCTGCAGATCTGAGTCTCACCAGGAGCCCCAGGCAGAGGGAAGGCAGCATCTCTGCAAATGTCAGGGGTATGCAGTTCATGACCCAGTTGGTCTGCCCTTGGCCACATTTTGTCCTGGGGAAACTTTACCCCCATGGGCAAGGGGGTATGTTTGGGATGCTCATTGCAGCAGTGTGCAGACTAGCAAACAACTGGAATTGAACTAAATGTCCCTCAACCAAAGAACAATTAAATAAATACAGGTTTCTCCAAACTATAGGAAACTGTACAGTGAATTTGTATATCTTTATTACTGTCTTGGAAACATCTTCAAGACATGGTGTTGAGTGAAAATGAGTTGAAGAATGAAGTCAAGTTAAAAAATGATAACAGTTTGAGAACATCTGCATGAAATAGGATCAAATAGTATGCCTTTTGAATGGGCCCATTTATATGTGGGGAAAATATATGAAAAAGGATCAAGGAAGATATAGTCTACAGATCACCGTGGTTATTTCTAGGGAGGGAACCAAGATTGGATAAAAGACACACTTGTCCTAAAGAATAATAATAATAAAAGTACTGACAAGAAATACAGAGTAAGTTAGAAAGATTGCAGGAGAGAGGATCAATAGAATACATCACTTTAAATTCCATAAAATTGGGAAATGAAATTTTAAAATACCATTTGTAAGAGCATCAAACATTTAAAAATATTTAGGGGTTTATTTAACCAAATATCTACAAGAACCATATTCTAAAAACTCCAAAACATTGCCAATTAAACACCAAAATAAATAAAAGGATGGACCAGGTTTCTGGATTAAAAGATTTAATATTGTCCTTAAGATGGCAATTCTCCCCAAACTGATCTAAGGGTTTAATGCAATTCCAACCAAAATTCCAGGAGGCGTATTTAGAAATTGATGAGCTGATTATGAGATTTACATGAAAACAGAGAAGATCTAGACTAGTCAAATAAATTTCAAAATAGCAAAGTTGGAGGATTTATACTATCTGATTTCAAGACTTACTATAAAGCTACAGTAATCAAGTCAGGGTGGTAGTGGCTTAAGGAAAAATACATAGATCAGTGGAACAGAAGAGAGACTCCACAAACACACCACTCATATTTATTCAAGTGATGTTCCACGGAGGTACCCAGGAAATTCAGTGGGGAAAAGAAAGTCTTCTGACAAATGGTTCAGAAATAAATGACTTTTTAGGGCTCAGTATCTGGCTTGAGCCACTGCAGTTCCTTAGAGGAGAGGCAAGATGGCAAAGTGATTGAAACAGAGACTCTGAAGTTCAACAAACTAGGGTTCATATTCTGACTGTGCCATTTACTCACTGGGTTAGATTGCTTAACCTCTGTTTAACTCAGCTTCCTTATCTATAAAGTGGGATTACTAATGCTATGCACCTCTTGGTTTGTGAGGGTTAAATAAGGTGATTCATATAAATAGATGCTAAGAGCCATGCCTCACCTACTGTGGGGGCCTCCTTGGAGGAGGCAGCAGTCATGACAACCACCAGAGCCACCTCACCAAGTCTACTCTACCCCTCCTCCTCCCAGGGACCACCCTGCAGCAGGGGGGATTTCGGTCCATGTTATCTCTCTACAGTGTCTCGTGTCTCGGACGAGTGCAGTGCTTGGCACACAGTAGGGGCTCAATACATATTTGTTGAATGCACGAATCCAGGGCACTCCAGGCATAACCAAGCCCTCGCCTGCTCTTCACAAACCATGAAGCAGCTGGTAATGAGAACTCGCCCTCTCTCGGTCTCCACATACCGCCTGAGAAGGGAAAAGGAGCAAAGGCTGGCTGCCCATCGACCTGTCGCACCCTCCTCCCTCAACGCAGGGGAGGCCGCCACCTGGTGAATAATTCACCTGCTGCAGTCAGCAGCTCCCAATGCTGAGTTGGCGAAAAGCAAACAGCCTATGGAACCGTTTCTTATTTTTACGGGGCATAAAATCAGGGTCTTGACTGCTTATGTTTCCATCCTAGTAATTTCAGAGGCAATTAGCGATTGGGTGCTTTTGCCTGTAAGCTCCCTTGCATACCCACGTGTTAGATGCACTCAGCCCTGCCCAGATAAGCCAGTCAAAAGATTTATGTCGACTCAATATTAAAGTGCAATATCAACAATCCTTTTAAATGACAGCAGCATCTATGGGTAAGTAGCCTACATGTTAAGCCTCCCCTTGGGGACAGTAACCTGCTTCATTACAATGGCCGTAATGAAGAGGCTCTATAAATCAGCATCTTTTATACCAAAACATGTGCTCCAAACTCCTCTAAAGCCCAGCCCTGATGCAGACGAACAGCTCGGATGGGAGGTGAGAATCTGGAAGACACCAGCCTGAAGGGCCAAAGGAGCCAGTGGTAAGCATTTTCAGTGAAGCCAGGCCAGCCAACCCAAACTTGTTTTTTTCAACATCAATCTGGGGATGTGTGAAGAAAAACAGACACAATGTCTTTCCATGATGGAGCCTTTCCTCCACGCTGGGCCAGGGGTGAGGTCACCCTGACACCCTTCTGTGACTCCTGCGGGGTAGGGTGTGGCCTCCCCAGACCAAACTCTGGTGCCCAAA